AACACATGTTCTACGTGCAGTAGGACAAATGGCCATTTGGATTCGTTTGGATTTCTGATCCTGATACCCAACAGGCCCTGACAAGTCAAGTTAACATACCACTGCTTTCTTGCTTTGAGTGGTAGTAGGTGTGGAGACAGCACTGGATCATTTCATATGTGCCTGCTCATTTGAAACTCTCTTGCTCTGGGTAAGTGAGAACATTTTTCTTTACGTTGCATGTTTAAGGCTTGTTACTTTAAAGAAAAAAAGGAGTGCAAATCGAGATGAGGTTTTTCTGGGAATCGCCCAAGAAAGTGTACTTCATTTTCCTTCACTACTCTTTTTATAATCTTTTTTTTTAAGGTGGGGATAAAAAATGTAATGTTCTGCTTTATTTTTTACCAGCTGATTGTGCTGCTCAAGCTGCATCCTAGCAGAGCTTTAACATATTCACATGTATTTTATTGGATTCACAGGGGTGTTAGATTTTCACTGAACTTTGTTTGAGAATGAATCCCACTTTTCATTCACTAAATGTCAGTGACGTTAGGAAACAATGATTAGTTGATTATGTGCACTTTTCTGCTTTTCTTTTCTATATCAAATGGAAATTTTTAAAACCCGCTGCCTTCATTTGGCAAAAACGGATTTTAAAGTTTCTTGAACGTGTGTTTTGATGCAGTTTGCTGGAGCGTAACTCTTTAGTGATGTTTAACTGCGTCACATTGGTGCCTTTTTCTGCATTTTCAAGGGTCTGGCAATGTATCTTTTTTTCTCTAAACTTTGAAGCTTTTAAAGAGTAGAAACTATACTCCAACTCTGTCGATGTACCTATGAACAGCCTCAGGTATTACAAAAATAAAGACACACCCTCCAGTTTGCAGCAACAGATCAGGTTTTTTTTTAGTTTCATATCAGGATAAAATGTAGGTTCTGAAGATTGAATTACATAAAGCACAGGATGCCTAATTTTCTCATGAATGAATCAAGGGAACAGGTATTTTTAGTACCCTGTAATTTTTTATTAGAATCATAACCATGCTAAATCTATCTTTGGTGAAAAAATAAAAAAATGCATATATAAAGCACTCTTTGTAAATGGAAACCACATTTTATTTCTTATTTTTTTAAAAATTATAAATGTCTCAAATTAACGGAGCTTAAATTTCTAAATATTTGGTTTCTTTATCATTTTTCATAATTCCCATTTTATTTTCTTGTTTATGATCACCCCTTGCTGATCATGGTGGCACAGTAGTTAGTATTGCTACCTTGCAGCACCTGGGCCCTAGGTTCAATTCCAGATCTGGGGTGCTGTCTGTGTGGAGTTTGCATGTTCTCCCTGTGTTCTTGTGGTTTTCCTCCAGGTGCTCCAGTTTCCTCCCACAGTCCAAAGACATACTGGTAGGTTAATTGGTTTCGGGTAAATTAGGCCCTCGCGTTTGCCTGTGTGTCTGCCCTGTAATAAACTGACATATTGTCTAGGGTACCCCACCTTGAACCCCTTGCTTGCTGGGATAGACTCCAGATCCCCCACAACCCTGAATTGGAAGAAGTGGTTAGGAAACAGCAGGAAGTGGATGGATAATGTCTTATTTACTTTGCAGTTGAAGACTGTTGAAGTTGAAGAAGGCTTTTTTCAAGTCTGATGTCATAATTCCATTTGTCTTCTTCTCATTTCTCTTTTCATGTCAATTGTCAATGTACCCTTGATGAATGGATTTTAAAATTTAAATTTAGAACTTTAAAATAACATTTTAAAACAGAGATGCACTGTTAAACACTGGGTACATTTAAATGCAAAAAGCGCAGCATTATCTCAGTAATCAAAAAAACATTTCCCAGGGCTGAAAAACAATTTTATTTTAAAAAAATCTTTGTTTCGTGCAATGTCAAGCTCTGTTAGTCATGCGATACATAAAACAGGCTGTAAGAGCTTAGCTTCGGGTCATCAAGCAGTAATGAGGTGCTGAATAGTTTAAGCTAACCATGATAGATCATGAACAATGAACGATGTCAACATTTTTTAGAAAAAAATCCAGAATATTTAGGTGCAGTAACTATTGTCAGGTCAGTACAGTGTTTCTCACAGTTCAAAACATCCTTTTCCGCAGCCTGGATTAGGCCACTGGTAAAGGATACATCACGCCAGGGACAACAGAGATACCAGCTCTGTCTGTATGTTCATCATGAAAGACCTTCTCAAGACTGCCTTCCTGCTGTGGACACTGCAATTGTCCGTGCAAGATCCAGCTGCTGAAAACCTGGTCTTAAGACCAGGAAATGTCAATGGTGAGGAATTATTAACCACAGGAGCATGTAGAACCTCTTAAAATCGAAGGCACCAATCCAGTATTTCTAAAAATGAAAAGTAGAGTAGAGAATAGAGAAGCCTTTCTCTCCCCCAGTCAATTTTAAAACACAATAGTGCATGAAGTATGCACTGTTGATAAGCTGTTTTCTGCACTGACATAATGCACAGTTAATAAATCTGATTGCCCCTTTGAAATTTGAATATTTTCACTGACCATAATATGTTTCTGCTGTTCTACTGATGTTATCCTAATTATTTGTGTATAGTAATGTGCAAGTGGATTAAAATCTGTGATTTTTGATAAGTGATCCATAAAACTTCAAAACCCTGTAATTGAAAACCCTGTAAAATGAAAAAATGAGCTAATTCCCATGTTTCCTGTAGGGGAATACCAGAGGTAAAGAGCATGGGATTTCTTTTTAGATAAATTGTTTTTAGAAAAAATAACTCTTATTTGTTTTGCCCAAGTGAGCTAGAGCTTGCAGTCCCGGTCTTCAGTTTCCTCAGAAAATGAGCATATTCCCACAAGGAAATGCATTCCTTCTGGGGCTGTTTGGACTCGCTTGGCCCAGTTCTCCCAGCCTCCCCCTATGAACTAACGGGTGTTTTATTCCTTAGGCCACACTACTTAAACCCTGCTCTGCACTGAGACAGAGTTCTGTCATTGAGCTACCTTCTGTACCGGGTACTGCGCTCAGCATTACTAACCTGCCTCCCCGAAGTACACTCGGCCTGATCCTGCCCAGAGGATTCCCAGTCTGTCCTGACCCTCTTCTGTTCATCAGCACTGGACCAGTGGCACGGTTCCCTGCCAGTATTTCTGTACAGCGGTGCAGCCACCTGTCTCCATCTGCCCTGCCAGCTGCGTTTGCCTTCCCCTTCCCTCCGAACCCCGTCTCCATTCAGCTTCCACGTTCTCTGCCAGCTTCTGTCCACCAGCCCAGTTCGGCTATCTCCGCCTGCCTCCGACTCCCTCCGAGCCCTCACTAGGCTATTGCACTTGGGTCATCAGCTAGCCACGTGGCAACACTGTTGGGTCACTTTAATGTTATTTTACTCCCTTATCCTATTAGATTAAAAATGTACCAGTTTCGTTACCTTACAATATGTCTTATGTAATTTTTAATTAGCTGTAAAATGAATTGCAGGGTTGGATCGTGCCTGAAATGAATGCTTTTCTGCGTGTGCTCGAATGTTGTTGAATTCTGGCCCTTTTGCTCCCTTTTGTGCTCCCTGCCGTCAGTCTCATGCCAGTGTCCCTGCCCCTCGCTCTCCTGCAGGAATGCAGGACTGCCCCATCAACGTGTACTTCACCATCGACACTTCGGAGAGCGTCGCCCTCAAAGAGTACCCATGGGGCAGCCAGGTCGAGGAGCTGAAGGTCTTCCTGAGGATGTTTGTGCAGAAGCTGCAGTCCACCACCCTGCTAGCCAAGCAGGTCCAGTGGTCCTATGGCGGGCTGCACTTCTCTGACCGGGTGGAAGTCTTCAGTCAGGTCACCAGCGAAGCTTCCATCTTCCTGGCCAGGGTGAACGCTATTAGCTACATCGGCAGGGGGACCTTCATCGACTGCGCCTTGAGGAACATGACCGAGCAGGTGCAGAGAGGAATGCTGGGAAGCAGGCATCGCCTGCAGTTTGCCGTGGTCCTGACGGACGGCCACATCACAGGAAGCCCCTGTGGAGGGGTCCAGCAAGCCGCGGAGGCCGCCAAGGCTGCTGGGATCAAGATCTTCGTCGTGGCGACCAGCTCTGACACGATGGAGAACGAGCTCAAGCACATCGCGAGTTCTCCTGTCGAGCTTTACCGCAAGGACTACTTAGCCTTCCCAAGTACCTCCCGGGAGTCTGCAGTCAACAGGATCACTGATGCAATGGCAAGTAATGTGTGTCCAGGAACAGGAGGGTGAGAGCATGCACACACATGCAAAGCACACAGATTCAAATTTACAGATTCATGCTTCATTATCCTGAACGGTGAGCTACAGTGTTACCAAAGCAGATACAATTAACACAACATTTTCAGTACAAACAGTACATACATCACATGAAACATACTGTACAACTTTATTAAGAGACATACAGCCATCCGTTCCTCAGGCTGTGACAGTTAAATGGATTTGGCTGCTTCAAATTGCACTTACAGACTGCTGTGGCAGCCAGGCGACATTAGAAATACGTGTTTTTGCAATGTGAAGGAGAGATCAGATGTGCTCCAGTTTTCAGTTTCTCTTTCAATTCAGAAATCCTCAGTGTCTGAATGTGACACTGCACGGCACAGATTCTGTTCTCCCATCCCTCCATTTTCTAACTGCTTCCTCCAGTTCAGGGTCACAGGGGAGCCAGAGCCTATCCCAGCAAGCACCGGGCTCAAGGCAGGATACACCCTGGACAGGATGCCAGTCCAATGGAGGGTACACACAGATACAAACACACACACACTCACACCAGGGACAATTACTCAGAAGTCAATGAACCCACCAGTATGTCCACCAGCATGGACTGGGCGAGGAAACCAAAGACAGGGAGAATATTATTGCTTCCTTCTGGTGCTCTAACTGGAATAATGTCTTTTTGTCCCCCACTTTAGGTGAAAGAAGGTGAATATGAGGTGAGAAAATGTTCTTATACCCTGAGACCTACAGTACCAACCCTTTACAACAGTATTGTGTATTTGCATCCTAGGAGGCAATGCTAGCAGGACAAGCAGTTTCTCTCTCTGTGTTGTAGCCCTTGCCGCTGAGGTAGTTTGCCCCAACAATTAAAACAAATTGCTCTTTATAAGAAAGGTATCTCCTTTGTTAAAAACTAACTGGAATTGCCAAGAATCCTTGTAAGGAAATCGAATCTAACAGATCATTTCTATGTCATGCAGCTCAATTGTATAATCAGCCCCTATTGCTTTCGCTTGAACACAGACTCATTCATTGGTACTTTTCATGTTTATTCTTAGTGTGTAGAACAAGGGTGCCTGAGAAGTGAAGGACCACATGGCCCTAAAGGATCGAAGGGTGTAAAGGTGAGAATAAGAATAATAAACTTGTTTTTTTATTTCTATTTTGCAGTTTCATTTGAGCTGTCAATTGATATATATATATATGTTTTCTGATTA